CTCTAAATAAACAGACGATGATATTGAAGAAAAATAACACAAGTGAACATTAAATTTATGGAGATATTACAACTATACATAATCAATTGTATAAATGAAGAAATGGGTTTTGATTCATTGCTCTTGTAAGAGGGACTTTTTTTCATTCTCCAAATTTAAGATTGTCAGTACTAAAATATGTAAGAAATGTTGGTAATGTAATTCTCTACTGTAGCTCATGTCTGTATAAAATGGATCAAGAAGCTTTTTAACAGATGAATGCATAGAATAAACTACTCTTTCTGTGGTGAAATAAGTCTGCTTGCCATAACAAAATACCACAGACTGGGTGGCTTACATAACAGAAATTGAATTTTTCAAAGTTCTGGGGCTGGAAGTCTAAGATCACGCTGCCAGCAGGGCTGGTTTCTAGTGAGACCCACTTCCTCGGCTGGCAGGTGCTGGCTTCTCTCCAGGTCCCTCCATGACAGCTCCTGTGTGTGTGCCCTGGGTGGCCTGGCATCTCTTCCTCTTCTTATAAAGACACTGTTTCTATCGGGTTAGGGTCCCATCCTCATGACCTCATTTGCCTTAAAAACTTCCTTAAAGGTCCTATCTCCAAATACAGTCATGGTGGGGATTAGCACCTCAACATATAAATTTGAGGGTGGTACATTTCAGTCCATAGCAGTGGTGTATGAAAAAACCAAGAATCTCAATGGAGAGTTGATGAAATATTTTGATAGAAAGTTAGGTAATTCATGCACAGTGCACATTTTTAGAAATAGAGAATATATATATATATATATATATATTGTGTATATATGTGTATACTGTGTTTATGCATGTACATATACATGCGTATATACATATATATTATATATTAAATACAGTGAATATTCTGAATCCACTGCCAACAGGCTTGAACATACCTGTGTAAGGCGAACAAGCTCGAGTCAGTAATGAAAGCCCTTCTGAACACATTCCTAAAGGGTAACACCTAGACCCTAGTCCCTTAGGAAGGCGTTTCAGGCAGGGGTAATACCTGTCTCAGAGGACTTCCTCTCAAAGGTGTTTACTTGGGAGTATAAACTCAAGCACCACGTGAAGTATATGTGCCTTGTTCTGGGTGGAAGATATGAATTCAAGTTTGGTTTCAAGTTTTCAATTACGTATGAAGGACCAACCCAGCGACTTACCTGTGTCCTACAAAGCCAGTTTGGGACACTTCTAGCCAACAGTTCTCTAGAAAGGTGATAAGGCAAATAATTGAGAAAACTTATATACAAAGGTAAACTTTTAATAGTATAATGTTTATACTGCTACAGGCTGCTTCAAAAGGAGTTCTAGAATCTTTTCTAGAACATTCAAAAATATTTTCATCTCCTTGATGTTAGACCTAATGGCTTTCACTGAAGAGCGAACTTTCCACCCATCTCCCTCTGGGTGTATGTGGACAGTGCACAGAGTTTGTGCAAGGTCGAGCCCTTCATTGGTTAAAGATCAAACACCTTTTTAAAGTATGCATTTCTGCCCATGTTCAGACAATGAATCACTTTAGACTGAAGGCAGTGCCAAATCTCCTGAAAGTTTATGAAGGGTTGTCTCACTGTATGCAGGGAGGTGCATACGAGGGTAGAGATGCGTAGACGGAGGAAAGGTTCAAAAATGGTGATTACAGCTCTTGAGTGAGAAAGCTGGATATTATAAAAACAAGAATGGGCAGAATGCCATTCTTTACTTTTTTTTTTTAAACTAGAGTTTAAAAAATCGTCATGACACTAGTGATTAAACAAAGTATAAGCTGCCAACAGTATTCAGAGAGCCTCCCTCTGCAGCCTCATCTTCAGAACTCCTCCTGTCACCACTGCTTTAGACTCTATCTTTTATGAGAGCAGGGACTATCAACTCTCCACAGCTTCACAGATGCCATGTTTACATGCAACATGGAAAAAAACCTGACTCAGAAGGCGTTAAAGCAACTAACTGCATGAACCTGTAACTATACTTCTAGTGCATCAAAGCCAGACTCCAAGGCTTTTTGTAGCCCTCGCCAAATCTAGTGCAGTGCGTGTACTCAAAATATGTCTACCAATGCAGCATTGATCGTTACTATAATAGGTCAGGAATATTATGTGAATGGCTATTATTAAAAAATACATCTGTAAGTTAATTTATATCTTCTTTATCTTATACAAGGTTGTCTTTAACCCTGTATTATATAGATTTCTCCAATAGGTTGACTGATTATGATACTTTGTTTAAATTTTTTAACTTAAATGCTTTAAATTATATCTAACATACATTAACTCTGAAACTCTTAAGGAAGACCACAGCACTTCTCTTTATCTTGTTGTATATAAAACTATATCCTAATTGAGAAGTCTGTTAGTTTATGCAGGTTCACAGTCAAAGCCAGTCTAAGGGTAAGAAAGGATCACGAGTCAAAAGGCAAAACAGGAGTCTGATAAATGCATGATTAAAGCTTATAAGCACAAGCTTGGATTTTTTGTGGGATTTCATCTTATGACGAATTTAAATTATGCCTAAATTCTTAAAAGAGATGAAAAGTAAATTTGAATAACACTGAGAATAAAGTTATTTTGTCCTTAAAAAAAAAGTAATAAATTCTGTTTTCCACATAAACTCAGTCTTGCAGGATGAGCTTAACTTTATATCAGAATAGTCAAAGACTGAATCAAAGATCTTATTATATCAACACTTATTTTAAAGCCTGGGTAGAATACGTAAAGGAGCATTACAACCACATCCCAAATTAAACCATGCCTTCTACAGTAGTTATAAATCATATTAAGTCTGTGGAAAATCCTTAAAATGTATATCCAGTTATCAAGAGAATTCAGGAAAAAAAGAAAGAAAGAAAACCGAGATAGAAACACAGCCCTATATTTAAAATTTAATAATGTTTCTAACTTACCTATTCAACATATAATCTGTAACTAGATTTTTAGAAATAGGATGGTTCATTTAGAATAAAAATGGAAGTCTAAAGGCAACAAATCCAGCAGCCATAAAGAAAGACCTGGTACCCCATATAAAATTTAAAACCAAACCAAACCAAAATCAAAACAACAACAAAATACACACACACAGAGCATACAGAGCATAATTACTACTCTTTCTATATAAAGAGTTCTGGCAAATCGACAAAATAAAGATGAATATTTCAATAAATGTATAAAGATCAAAAAGACTGAAAGTCAGTCACAAAACAGAAAATATAAATGTCCAGTAACCATAAAAATAATCTGATGTAGTAGGGATGCAAAATAGAACACAGACTCAATTTTATAAAATTATTAGATACACATATAATGGAAAAATGTACTCTTTTGTGAGGGGCAATTTTTTGCAACACTAGTGAGAACATCAACTTTTCTTTGGCACTTTCCTTTAGGATATAAGCAAAGAAATGATGAAGATATAAAAATAATCAGCTCAGTGTTTGCCTTTTCTAAAACTAAAATTTGGAAACAAAATTAATGCTTAGCAATCAAGGACTGGAGAATATGCAGCTGTGCACAGGAACACACAGAGGAAGATGCCCTGAATGTTACTGTGTGCACAAATGTGTATATCCATACATATATTTCTTGACTAGTTTATCCTCAGGAATCAGAATTTATATACATTTGATTTTAGATATCAATGAAGCATTACATGTCTAATATGTGCATTAATTTGGTATAAGATTTGACCTCAGGCATTTGCAATTAGAGGGTTACTTATGATCGCTATAAATTCTAGCTCATCCCATAACCCCATTTGTCTTATGATCAGTAACACACATTACAAGATAATTTCTACAGTAGTTGTTTGGCCTTACTGTACAAATAATGTCACAAATGTGAAAGCTCTTCGTTTCACCAAAAAACTACCATATAAAATAAGAGTAAATTAAATTGTTGCCATTTTAAATATAGCTGATTTCAGTTAGAATAATGTTACTTCTAAAACCAAAGAATTAGGGCCCTTTGTCTATCTTAGTTTAATATTTATGACTTGATCAAAGAACAACTTCATTGCCTCACCCATCATATATGTGAATACCCTGTGTGCAGATGAAAGCATTTTCTGAATAAACTTTAAAGCCAAATGCAAACTTTAAAGCAAAACAGATAGTACAATATTAAGGTATAGGTTAGCAGATATAATCAGTATACTGTATCTTTTCATTTCTACTGAGTAATTTTTAAAGAGCCAATGATTTTTCCCAGATCATGCTTTAAAAGGTAAAAAAGTTTTATCCCAGAGGAAAAAATTCAAAGACTGGTAAACAACTTTTTGTTGTTGTTACAGGAAAAAGCAATCAAAATTCAAAATGTTAAGGCATTTTCTCCAAACTACATAAATATTTTGTTTGATTTTGTAACTATCACATATAAGAATTATTTGTTTGCAATGATACATGCTGACCTTGTCTATCTAAATTTAATGAGCCTACCCGTGCCTCTTAAATGTATTTAGATTCTTGCTATGCAAGTTTTCTTTAGATGTGTTTCATTTTAACGGTTCACTTTCAACATAATATCTACAGTATTTCCCTGTTAACTAAACAATTCTACCAGCACATCTAAATTTAATGTCAGAAGCCCTGCCGTCTCAGATGACATATAACTTTTCTACTCAAGTACATATTGTTTTGTACAACGTCTCTCATTCAATTTCTTCATTTACTTCCCCCAGATAGTTTGGAACCTCTCATTTGCTATTTAACATTTTTGTTAAATAATAATATTTGATAGGTTTCAGTTACATACCTGGAATAATTAGACCAAAGAGTGATGTATCTGGATTTTAATCAACAAGCAAGTGTCCAGACACCGCATTTAACCCCAGTGCAACTAATCAACACAGAGCAAGGGTGGGTGCAGATTACTGGAGCTTTGCAATCTCACACTGATAAACATAGGAAGCAGTTCGGCGGATAAGCGTTTAAAGTGTCACAGTGATATATTTTGAAGGATACGATGTAAACTCATCTCAAGCCATTAACTTACCCAAGACTGTGAGCTCGGCAGAGGCACTGACATTCTCGTTTTTGTAAGTGACAACACAGGTGTAAGTTCCACTGTCATCATCTGTCACATTGGAGATGAGCAAGTTGCTTCCACCCAATAAAGAATACTTTCTGGACCTGTAAGACAGAAGATGTACGAAATTAGAGCATAGGTTAACAGATGTCCATCAGGCAAAATATTCAAAGGTTTAAATGAACTCCACAAAAACCCAAATTTTAAAATTGTGAGGGAAAAAAAAAGCAATTTCATGGCAGCTTGATAACATGGCATTTATTGATCAAAAAATCCCTTCAAGATAAACCACTCCCATTAGAAGACTGTGTGCTGTGATCAAAGAAATGAAGTAGATTAAACTTGGAGCTAATGTTAATACTAAAAAGAATCTTAGAGATCACCTGGTTCAATTCTCCCTTTTTGGGTTTGAGAACCACACATCCAGAAAAGTGATTCCCCACAGGGAAGTCACTGTCCTGTGTCCTGACATCCAATTTAGTCATCTTTGTACAAAGTCCCATTTCCTACTGCACCGTGCATGCTCAGCTATATTAAGAGAGCACATCTTCACATGCTGAAGCTGAAGCTGCCTTTCTTGCATGCTTTAATATTCTTAGAAGTATTGTGATACCAGGCCATGTATGCTGTTATGTAAATAAATATTTAAGGTAGATGAAATTTAAAGATTAACTTATTGCCTACGACCCTATCTCACCATAGAATATAAATGTGTTAAAAAGAAGCACACCAGACCTCAAAATCAATGAAATTAATTTCTTAAGTGAAATCCCATCCATTTTAACCAAACTGTTTCAGACTAAGTGTTCCATTCTATTAAGAGTTTATTTTCTAACTATGCCAGTAATATATCAATGTCCAGTAATTTAAAGTCATTCAAGTTCTTCTGCCTTTATCTTTAGTATTTGTTACAGCTGGGATGGTGAGAGAGATAACTGGAACTAAAAAAAAAAATTTTACAGACCCTATAATGACATGTTATCTATCTGAATTCAGAAAATTTTGGTTTCTTAAGAAATATTTCACTCTCTGTATCACTTCGATAGGATGAGATCATCCAAAGTATCTTTGCCGAAGGCTCTTTGAGAAAGATCATCTCAAGGGCAACCCTGGCTTTCTAAATTTTTTTTTTCCTGCAGAATTTTATCTCATGGACTTTGACTGTTTCCCATTCCTTTATCCCAGTGGATAAATGTCTTTCATATACTGTCTAACATCAAGGAATGTGGGAAAAACATTCAATTATTATCAAAAACCCTAATATTTCTAGGTGCTGGTATCAAATTTGAGAAAGATAAACAGTAGCAATATACTTCATTAAAGTCCTAAGTTTATAATACCTGAGTTGGATGACTTCCTCTCCTCGTAACCATGTAAAACTCGGGGGAGGATAGCCAGAAACACAACATTCCAGGATAGCATCTTTTCCTTCAATGGCTACTACGTTTGATGGTCTTTGCAAAAAATATAGCTGTCTATGCAGTCCTGGATCTGTAGGGGAAGAAAAACAAAACATAGGATCACATTTTTTAGGAAAAACGTTGCAAAGAAAAATGCTGTAGCTGGAACGATTTTTTTTCCCCAATAAGACACCATGATAAAGAGGGAAGAAAGAAAAATGGAAAGGTGCCAATGAAACAGACTCCTAGAAGACATTTTCCAAGCCTAGTTTCTAAGATTCTAGGATTACAATATTATAATATTCTTAGCTGTTGATGACGTCATGGTGTAAGGCGAAGGGAAAAATGCTGAGACGGTAAGTCACTCATGCGCACGTTGTTAACTTAACATCCTTAAAGAACAAGACGAGATGACAGCGCCATTTCTAAATGATATCACCCAAAGTTTCTTTTTGATATTTTCAATTTGCATGTCACTAATATCTATTTCACTTCCTTCTGCTTTGTTTACTGCTTCTGGGGTTTGGGAAGTAAGAGTTTAAAAAAGCATGTTAGAATTGTGTTAAACAACCTACAAGTACTGAATAGGCTATAGACGTTACTGAGAAAACACCTGTTATCTTCAAAACAAGAGTTCAGCTGAAGTTTGTTTTTTATAATAAAAAATTTGGCTGTTTCTAAGCCTCTGTTTAGTTTTTAACAATTTTCTCAAAAATATGTTTGTCCCTGAAACTGAGAATCTGGATAAATAAGGAGCATCCTTCCACCTCATTCAGTGCTCCTTCTGTCTATAAAGCAGTGTTCATTTTTACTAGCAGGCAACTCAAGCAGTGTCTTACTCAACTTAAAGACTCACCATAGACCTCATTTGATCCAAAAGTGCTAAGATTATATCAGGTGGAATAAGCAAAAAAAAAAAAAATGCAATCCAAAGCACAGGGTTCCACACTGTGAAGAGAAAATTCCATAAGAGTTAAGCGCTTCTCTTCCACCCACCATATAAACCCTACTCCTACTGCGTGGGACACGCCTACAGCAGCCTTACGGTGCAATGGGCTTGGAGGAAATCTCCGCAGTCATGTACTGTCCTCTGACCTGAGCTGCTGCCTAAATTTCTACAACTCAAATTCATTCATTTAAGACAAAATGCTGTATTTCCAGGTCCCCATTAAAACCCACATCCCTCTATGAATGTTTACTCCAGGCTTAACAAATTAAATGAAATTAGCCTATGATCTTTCATTTTGCAAACTCAAAGCAAAATCTTGAAGCAAAGGAAATGAGGCAACAAAATCTAAAAACCAAAATTGGGGTGGATGAAGAAATGCCAAGGGAAGGTAAATCTAACTGGGTCGTACTGTGGGTCGTGGATGACGAGAAAGTCAAGTGGGAGGGGATCTGTTAATACTGCCGTTCATCTTCCCTGACCTGACCCAACTCCATACAGGTTGATCACAGATTAGTAAAAGAACATCGATTCTTTTCAATATCTTGTAGTAACCTATAATGAAACAGCATATGAAAATGAATATATGTATGTTTATGTATGACTGAAACATTATGCTGTACATCAGAAATTGACACATTGTAGACTGACGACTACATTTCAATTAAAAAATAATTTTAAAAGAAATTTAAAAAAGACCACCAATTCTCTAGTTAATAGTTGAGAGAGTAATAGTCATTGAAAGTACTCTGTGTGAAGAAAGAGGAATTCACACTTTCTCAGGCTTCTCATATCTGTTTCTGGTTGTTACAGCAACAAAAATAAATACTCCTCACAATGAAAATATTGAAAGGATTCTCAAAATGTGTTAATCCTCATTAAACCAATATTGTAGATAAAATATCTCAAAACTTTTCAAAATTGTTGGTGGCATGTTTAATTTCCCTGCTTGAAAATGACTTCTCAAACCAAATGAAAATGTTTTGAAGGGAAATACTGCTTAAAACCAAAATTCCTGAAATGGACAGGTTCAGAAAATGTGTGTTTATAAATAGCCATCTTTCTGATGGAGGTCTAGCCATGGGAATGCTTGAGTTTCATTCCCTGTTCCTCCACAGAAATGTTTCCACTACATACACTGTGTACTAGTACACTATTATAGTAGACTGTATGCTATACTGCTCTTCACAGAGAACATCATAGAATATCTGCATAGTTTTATCTTCCAGATAAAAGAAAATTTACCTGGGTTCCATGTGCAGTATTATTTGTTTATCCACAGAAGAGCCAAAATTTCACCTCAGTTAGATTTTCTTTTATCAGAAGCAAAATCAGGCAACACAAAAATGGTTACTTTAAAAAAATTGTTATTTATATATTTTATTTTAATTTACTAAAAAAGGGAACAAATAGTACAGGAAGTTCCCACATACTAGTTCCCCACTCTGACATACAGTTTTTCCCATTACTAACATCTTACATCAGTGTGGTACCTTTTCTGAAACATCATATAGTTGGAATTATACAGTATGTTGACTTTCCCGATTGGTTTCTTTCACCTACCAGTATGCATTTGGGGTTCCATCACGTCTCTTTGTGGTTTGATAGCATATTTTTATTGCTGGATATTTCTCCACTATACAGATGTACCACAGTTTGTTCATTCATTCACCTAGTTAAAGATACCTTGATTCCTTCCTATTTTTAGAGACTATAAACAAATCTGCTATAAATGTCCATGTGCAGATTTTTGTCTGGACACAACTTTACAACTTAATTTGGCAAACACCCTGGAACACTATTAGTAGATTGTATGGTAGAACTACGTTTATCTAAGAAACTCCCCCACTGTCTCCCCAAATGGCTCTGCAATTTTACATTCCCACCAGCAATGAATAAGAGTTCCTGTTGCTCATTCTCCTATGCATTTGTTACGGTCATTTTTTGGATTCTAGCCCTTTTAATAGATGTTCAGTGGGATCTTACAGTTGTTTTAACTTGCAATTCCCCAGTGACAAGTGATGTTGAGCACATTTCATATGCTTAGTTTCTACCCATCTCTCTCAGGTGCCTATGAAGATCTTTTGCCTATTTATTAATTGGTTTGTTTTCTTATTGTTGAATTTCAAGCATTTGTTGTATATTTTAGATACAAGTCCTTTATCCAGATGTGCGCTTTGCAGATACTTTCTCAGTGTGTGCCTTGTTATTCTCTTAACATTTCTCTTAACGTTGTCTTTTGCAGAGCAGAAAGTACCAATTTTCATAAAGTCCAACTTAATTTCTTCTTTCATGGATAACTTTGTAGGTGTTGTACCTAAAAATTCATTGTCAAACTTAAGATCACCTAGATTTTCTCCTGTGTTATCTTCTGGAAGCTTTTATAGTTTCATGGCTTATGCTTAGGTCTATTATACATTTTGAGTTATTTTTGTGAAAGATACCAGGTTTGTGTCTACTATTTTTTTTTCTTTTTTGCATGTAAGTGTCCAATTGTTCCAGCACCATTTGTTGAAAAGACTATCCTTTTTCCATTGACCTGGTTGTTCCTTTGTCAGAGACTGGATGACTATACTTCTGTGGGTCTATTTCTGAGAGCTCTGCTTTGTTCCATTGATCTATTTCTTTATTATTTTGACACCATAACACTGTATCTTGACTATTGCAGCTTTATCACGAGTCTTGATGCCAGGAAATGTACATCCTCTCACTTTCCTCTTTAGACTGTGTTCACTGTGCTGACTCTTCTGTCCAGATATTTTAGAACTATTTACTGACATATACAAAATAACTTGCTGGGATTTTTGTCTTCATCTTAAAATGTTAGTTCAGGCATCACTGGGCTCATATTGCCACAAAAGAACCATCTACTATTTTCAGACAGAATATACATCCAGATTACTTCAATCTCCATGGGGCCCACTTCAGCTATGTTTATCTTTGTGGCTCCGTAGACACTGGAGCATGATCATATGTGTGACCCTAATCATATGGAAGAAAACGTTAATTTTTGGCAGAGATGTTTGGTTCCATTTCTCTGAAGATATTTCTCTGTAATTATCTAATCTAATACATTCTAATATTATGGACGTTTCCCCCAAGAGTTAATAGAAATGGTCTTTAATAGTAAATAGTTCATATGTTTCACATTTGTGATAGATTAAACATGATCACAAATTGTTTGAGCTCCTCCAATCCTGAGTTGAGGGTGCATTTCACTATGATATGAATCTGGCCTGGCCCTGGATCTTGTTTTTGACCAACAGGTCACGGTGGGAGTTATACTGTATGAGTTCTGGAGACAAGACTGCAAGAGGCCTTACAAGTTTCTGACACGGTTCTTTCTGAAAGGACCACGTCAGTGAGTGTAGCCAGTGGGAGGATGAGAAGGCACATGGAGGATAACCGAGTTCCCAGCCAAAAACCTGCACCAACTGACAGACACGTGAATGAGGCCATCTTATCAAGCCTTTCACCTCAGCCAAATGGGCCCTACTGAGCCAGAGTGAAACCCGCAGAGGAACAGCTGAGATCCACCACAGAATTACAAGAGATAATAAATTACTTCAAGTCACTGCATTTTGGAGTGATCTGTTATACAGCAATGGACACCTGAAATCTACACGAGGAACTGGAAACAAACCCATCCCAGCAATTTAAAATGCCAAGTAAACTCTGGTTGTTGTTTTTAGTTTGACTTTGGTTTCTGTTCTTGTACTAGTATGTTGATTCTGACTATTTAAAGAGTCATTATTAAAGTCAATTTGTGCCTTACTTTTCTCCGTTAAGATGTGATTTTTTTTTAGAAGAATGCCAAGAAAATGCATTTAAGTTTTAAAATTGAGAGGATAGAGATACAATTGCCAAGGTTTATCTTTGATAAAATTGTGGGTGATCTTTATTTTCATCTTTGGATTTTTCTGTATTTTCTAAATTTTTTTTAATAAAGAACATACATTAATTTTAGAGTAAGGAGTTATTTTGAACTCTGGAGTTGCAAAGTAGATGGGAACTGTCTGAAGAGTAAAGAAGTTAAAACAGGTAATAACTAAAACACAGGGCAAATATCTAAGAAAGTTTTCCCCTCTAGGCTCCATAATAATAGGGATGAAAAAGCCCACGGAGGAGTGAACTTAAAATTCTAG